TCAAATTTTCTTCAGATAGAAGATACAATGTTGAACTCATAGAGCAAGAGACCATAACCTTTCTGTGACAGGGCCTATTCAAGAAAAAGCCAAAGAGTTCGCTTAAGAATTTGGATTAGAATTTCACGGTAGTTTAGGTTAGCTTCATAAATTCAAAATGCAAAATGGAACTATTTCAAAAATAATATCAGAAAAAAGTGCTGCAGTATCGGAGACCGATTGTGAAGATTACGTGACTAACATTTTTCCAAGGTTAATTCAAAATTATAGTGAGCAAGATATTTTAACAAATCTCTCAAAATAAATAAACATTTTTATTTTAAATTGTATTTATGTTGTAAATTGCCTCGGGTACTCGAAGTTTCGATACGTCAATTTTTTTTTTTGGTTTCTTGAGACTTCGAGATACCGAGGTTCCACTGTATATATTAAATAAATATTATATAATCTAGGACATTATAAAAAAACATAGATTATTTCGTATGTATCTGAAAAAAAATATTTTAAATTTGAATGCAATCTATACTAATATTATAAAGAGGAAAGATTTTGTTTGTAACCAATAAACTCAAAAACTACTGAACCAATTTCAAAAATTCTTTCACCTAATAAAAGAATGCTAAATTATTCCTGAGTTACATAGGCTATATTTATTATTAAAAAAAAATAAGGTTCCCTGTGAAAATTGCAATAATTAGGTTTTTGAGTCTTTTTGGTCATTGTTTATTTATTTATGTTTTGTTTATCCGTGGGTTACCTTGAAAATATGTATGATAATTTGGGTGTCGTGAAGAATAAAAATATTATTATTATTATTATTATTATTACTATTATCTAGTTTCTAGCAATAGCAAAACAGACACAGCTATGCGCTGTGCTGGGCGGGTAAGTGAAAAATGAAAATACTTATAAAATCTCGTCTTTTAATCTTTATATTTTTTTGTAAATTTATAACACTAGAGTATACTATTATGTCCTCATACTTTTAGCGTTATTATAGTGGATATAATATAATTGTATATGGTGTAATAGTGTGCTGTGCGAGTATCTATGGTAACATGAATGAAAAAAAGTATGACACCCTAGAACACTTTTAGTCCCTAAGACTACCCAACCTATTTTATTTCGTTCGATACAATGATACGGGCAAAGCAATACGGGAATACAGGTTAAAATAATAAAAAATTGGCACGGGAAACGCCGGGCGCAGGACAGCTAGTATTATATATTTATATAATACGAATAAAGGGAACCTAGGACTATAATATATTATTGAATGTGTAATCAATACCTATCATAATATTTTTAATCCGCAGGTTTCAAAGATTGTATTTTGTAATAAGTACCTATACACTATGGACCTAACCTTATCGATATACCTAATAATAGTATGTAACGATTTCTATATACGCGAATTGCTACTTATATTAAGATACCATATAATAATTGAGGATTTTTTTTTTAGCAACAGATGTCTAAAAGTATTTTTGTACAAAGTAAACTTTTTCTTTATAGTTTATAATATCACTAAAACTTAAATTTTGTATTTCAACTTAATTTTATAATTAAAAAAAAAAATACTTCTTATAATATTATTCATATATTTTTTGTTTAAAAACTTACCATTGTATCAACCTATCCATTTAATGAAAATTCATCTATATCTTCTGAAGTGATGTCCGTCATAGTATTAAATATCACATTATGTCCATCTAATTCATCGAAGTAAGACATTTTTTTTTTTTTTATATATAAATTTAATACAAGCAAACATGAGAACAGATACGTTCGATTGTTTTTAAATACTGAACTACCCCTTGGTAAAGAATATATTTTTAGTTTTCGTGGAGGGGTGACCTAAATATTCTCTTTTGTTGTTTACACATTGGATGAATTCGACGTGTCACATAATTTTTATTACGGTCACATACTTTTTATGACCATGAACGCGACATGGTAGCAGGGACAGTGGTTTTATCTAGTCACACGGATGTCAGTAATATTTTTTCTTCAGCCCGGTTATCACGTGCATATTCTCTATGAGATAATATATTTTTAGTTGAATACTTTTATATTTTTAGTGATTATTTTAAAATTGTTTGGCTGTGCCACTTTTTTTTTAATGCAATTCGGTTAAAAATATTCGTTGAAACTTTAAATATTAACAGAAAACATATGTTTGCTTTTTCTAGATGTGGTAAAATTATAAAAACATTTGAGGGTTTTGAGTTATTTACATACATTTTAATTTTGCAAATTTTTCACGTAATTTTGATATGGTAGGTTTTCTAAGGACAAAATTGTTGGACTAAACAGAAATACTTGAAAATTTGACAGGAAATTCATTATAAGTAGTACTTGGTAGTCAGGGAAAAAATGGGTGTACTGGTTACGTATGTAAATTAAATAACTTTATGTATCCCACCTTCCCAACTACCCACCTAAAACAGTGGCCACACCCGTCCCCAGTATTATATCTTTTTTTGTTATAAACTAATACTGACTTAAATTAAAAAATGTTCATCTCGAAAATCAAACCACTAATTTTATCAAAGAATTTCCTAAAATTTCAAAGAAAAAAAAAAAGAGTTGATACTGGGGATGGAATAGGCTACTGAAAAGTTGGAAAGGTAGGATACATAAGGTTATTTCATTTATATCTGTAAGAAACGATAAACCATTGCTGACGAAAGACGATTCTGAGCACAATTCGGTAATACATAATTTGAAGTACCGTAATTTTTTTTTTTTGCGATTTTTCTTTAAATTCTGTTTCAAAACACTTATTAAAAAAAAAAAAACAAATCGTTTAATAATTTTGTAAATTTCACCACGAGCATTCTGTCCATTTTTCAAGTCACTGCAAATATTTTTAACTAAATTATGACAACTTCGTCTTATTCTGATTTTTCCGAATCATTATGAAGTCAAAAAACGACTTGCGCTATAAGAAACAAGATGTACAATGAAACAAAAAGGGTTTCTTCTCATTTTTCAATTCAAGCACTTTTCCTAATAATAAACGTTTTCCGTATTAATGTAAGATAGTGAAATTATGAAATTTTACATTTTCCTACGATTTTTCCCACTTAATTGCTTTTATTTAATAAATGGCGTCAAAAATCAAAAAATGACTTCTCTAAAATACCATCTAGATAACTTGAGATTTTAGAAAAGTTGTTACACGTAAAATTCGGAACAAATTTACTAGAAAAAACGTGTGCACAATCTAGAACATAAAACAAAAAAAAGAAGAAGAAAAATAAACAACATTGTAAAACTAATAGCTCCCTCGCTACGTTCGGAATCTGAAATTATTGTTTATACAAAAAAATTGATACAAATTAATTATTACTTAAAACTGAATTTATTATTAATCAATTTAATTACAATGAATTACAATATTGCATACTAGTAGGTATTCTGTGGTAAAATTGTTAAATCTGAACAGAAATGCTTCAAAATTTAACAGGAAGTTCATTAAGAACCTTAATTTGTAGTGAAAAATTGAGTTTTTAATAAATTTAAAGTAATTTGAGTATTTTTTTTATAAGGGAATTTTAATATTAAATTTTGACTAAAAAATTATGTGGGACAAATCTAATTTTTCAATTGTTTTTTTTTTTTTTAACATATGTTTATTGCCGATTTAAGAACGATGGTAAAGTCAGAATTAAACGTACTGACTAAATTTCGAAATTATAGCTTTTTGAAGTTCTAATATTATGCAAATATTATATGTTGTGTTAAATAACTCTATATTATTCTTCTCGAAGCATATTAACTATCGTGATATAATGGTTATTCATACCTATTGTTATCCTAGGGGTTTCGAATTCAGACCAGTGTGTCAAAAAAAAATGTTTTGTATATTTTTACCTAAACAAGGAAAAACTAATGCATTTTGGATGTACCTAGAGATCTAAGCAATCGCTCCCTCGGACTATTTTAATCGTAAATACCCCTCGATTTGTTGTGCAAACTTTTACACTAGAAATCTTGCTCCGATGTATTATGTGTAGCTTTTTTCCTAAAAGAAAATTTTATCTCCATGGTCATTTAGAGAAGTCGTTTTTTTTTTATTTTTCAAGCAGTTTTCATAATATCTGGGAAAAATCGGGATAAAGTGTCGGAAAAACTGAAAATGTACGAAATTTAGGTATTAGTTACAAATTATTAATTAAAAAATTAGTCAACAATATACATGTCATATTATAGTAAAATAATTAAATAGGCTTTATATATTTTCTTTAATAATAATTGTTTAATGTTGTACCGATTTTACCAGACTTTCTACGTTTTTCTCATACATTTTCTAATCAAATAAAAACATGTTCAAAATGTTCAAAAACCGGACATTCTGAAAAAGAATGTTATCACAGAAGTAGACCGCCCACAACAGTATGTCAAATATGCAACAAACATGGCCATACTGCTGCAAATTGTTACATTTTTATAAATTAGTCGAAAATAGATAATAGATAATAGGTTGAACTTAGGTGTCGAGAATTTATCTTCTGTTGCATCACAAAACGCTCATACAATAAATAAAATTACATATCCGCTCAATACTCTTTACATAAACGCGTTATTTAATAATAATACAGTAATACCCGTAACGCTTGACACAGAGGCCAATTTACGCTCTATTAGACAATAGCTCATAAATCACAACCATAAAATAACACCGACCACAATACGATTATTAGGCCCGGATAATAACCACGGATAATTCGAAGTAAATGCCCGCATTATTAAAGATTTAGCCTAGTGCGATTATATTAGGAAACGATTTTTTAAAAGAACATGCTGTCATTATAAATTTTAAGAAAAGCATCATAATACTTGACTGTAAGTTATAATTAAATAAAATAATAATAATATGACGAACAACATAAATGTAAATACAAATAAAAAACGAGATAATAGAATTAAATGATAACAAATTTAATTCGCCAGCTGAATTTGCTATTGCTCATTGCGTGTCCGCGGATCTCAAGATGAGTAGAGGCATTGCAAAAGGAATATGTGACACCTATGCTAATACTAGATCGGAATTAGAGAATTGTAAACCAAAAACAGAAGACGCTTTAGTAACACGTTTTGGACCCAGCACCAATTTTCACTTAATAACAACACCAAATTACCACAAAAAAAACCCACTTTTAACGGTATTAAAACTACATCAAATAACTTAAAAAGAGAGACAGTTATCAAAAATAATCAAACAAAATTGCGATTCCAAAGATAGCCTTTGATGATCGTGATCGGACAATCATAAAATAATTAATACAGTCAGAATTTAAAAATTAAAATATTAAAATATATGGTTCATTACTGTAAAAACAACAAAATTACGCGAAATTCGGAAACAGCCAACCCAACGCAATAACAACAGATAGAAACATTTCTAATAACAATTCATCATTTAACGATAAAAACACGGATGGTATAGATATTATTAACGCGTGTAAAATATCTTTGAAACATAAACCGGGTGAAAACATGCTCGCAGGCGGCAACTGCGGCTTGTATGCGGTTCGTAACGCTATAAAGGACAATAAAGCCGAAACATTTTTTTTATTAGCTATAGGAGTATCGTGCCCTTGTATTACCATGTCAGTCCCCAAACGGACCACCCTTATATAAATACAACCCGTTGAATTGATTTTTGATCCACTTTCACCAATTCACATATTTCGTTGATATCTATCTTATATACCTCATATAACATATAACCTCATATAACCTTATATAACATCTTATTTACACTCAAAATAAAATTTAAAAAAGACTGAATGTTCTGGATAAACCATTTCCTCCTTCCTGAGTTGGTCCGCGTACTCAGAATAGCGGAAGTCTCGGAATAACGGACGAATTTCCGGTGACCAAGAGTTTCCCTCTTTTCAAAGGTTTCACTCCATTAATATTAGTCAATTGGAAATTTTCCAAGATGTAATAGTTTTTCATATTGCGAACGATGGTCAAGAAAAGACCTATATATTCGCTTGTAGGTAGGTCACACTCAGATACAAGTAATCATAGCACTGGGCTGTAGGATCTTTAAACACTAATTAAGCCTAACCTACCTAACATACCTAGCACCTACTCCTAAATGAGATGACGATCACAGCCCAGTAGTCATAAAACCGAACACTCATCATTGTGCAACCTAAACGAAAAAGCGAAATAAAACCACACTATATAACCCCTCTGGATACGCTTTGCCGTTAAGAAGATTCATAAATTCACGTTATTTTTCGGCATTCCGAGTTACTTACCGGTAACCGAATTGTGCAAGTGAAATTCTGTGGAAATCGAATTACGTGTAATTTCTTGATATTCTCAGTTTAAACTAAGAAAAGTAGACAAATTTCACTCGGTATTACCTTTTTTTAATTAGAATACTAGGACAACGCCACCTATCCGTGAGCCCTCGCGCCGAATTTTGTATAATAATTGTTAAATATCGAAAAAATAACCGAAGGGTAGGTACTACGGCTATAGAAAATAATCTGTCTATAGTCATTTTAGGTACCTACGCGACAGTAATCCAAATCTTACCTTTGTTTAGAAACACAAACGGACATTTACTAGCACAACGGATGAGATAGTATTGTAGAGGATACAATTGATGTATATCTGTATGAAACGATTAATCATTGCCATCGAAAAACTATTTAGAATGGAGTTTCATTATAGGTAATATTTTGAATGGCCGTAATATTATTGATTTCGTCTTTCTGAGTTATTTGCATTGACTTATCGGTAGCCGAATTGTGCACGCGAAATTCTGTGGAAATCGAATTAGGTGTAATTTCCGGATATTCTAAGTTTAAACTACGGAAAGTAGACAAATTTCACACGGTTTTACATTTTTTTAATTAGAATACTAGGACAACGCCACCTATCCGTGAGCCCTCACACCGTATTTTGTATTATATTTGTTAAATATCGAAAAAATAACCGAAGGGTAGGTACCACGGCTATNTATTTGCATTGACTTATCGGTAGCCGAATTGTGCAAGTGAAATTCTGTGGAAATCAAATGACGTGTTTTTTTTTTGATATTCTAAGTTTAAACTACGGAAAGTAGACAAATTTCACACGTTTTTACCTTTTTTTAATTAGAATACTAGGACAACGCCACCTATCCGTGAGCCCACACACCGTATTTTGTATTATATTTGTTAAATATCGAAAAAATAACCGAAGGGTAGGTACCACGGCTATAGATAATAATTTACCTATAGACATGTTAGGTACCTACGCGACGGTAATCTAAATCTTACTTTTGTTTAGAAAAACATTCGGACATACTTCGCATAACAGGTGGGCTAGTATTGTAGAGCAGGGGTCTCCAAACTACGGCCCGCCAAGCTTTTTGCACCGGCCCGCCAAGCTAATTAATGTTTTGAAAATAATATATTAATTTTCATTGTTTTTAATTTAATTTTTATTGAATTGATTAATAAAATAAAATGAATTTATAATATTTTCTTTTGGTAGGTATTATTCATAACAACTTATAATAGCTATACATATGTATATATGTATATATGAAATATGTATGTATGTATATATGTAACTAATAATTGATAAACTCGTCAATCACACTTATCTGACTTATATTGTACTTGAAACTTACGCGATGATGGTCAGACAAGATACGATCGACTTTTTCTGTTGTAATAATAACGTGTAATCGACGGGTTTTTCTAACTGCGCGAGTCTACTGTAATGTATCGAGTATATAATATAGAATCAGTTGTTATAATTATTGCAGTTTAGTGTTGTTTCTCATCGAGTGTAGTGCTCCGTGCTGTATTAAAATAAATATGAGCTTAAGTAAAAAACGGAAAGTCGATACAGAGTGCCGTGTTTTTAAACAAAAAGTGGAATAATGATTATTTCTTCATTGAACAAAACAATGTTGTTTTATGCGTTATTTGCAAGGAAAAGGTTGCTGTTATGAAAGAATACAATATTGNCATCTACATATAACGAGCTATCTGGTAAACTACGATCAGACAAGTTTGAAATATTAAAACAGAATTTACTAGCTCAACAGTCAATTTTTACAAAACGGTCATGTCAAAATGAATGTATCGTAAAAGCAAGTTTTCATGTAGCTCGTACTCTGGCGATAGCCGGAAAACCTTTTACTGATGGCCAAATTGTAAAGTAGTGCATTTTGAAGACAGTTGAAGAGATTTGTCCCGATAAAATCAATTTATTCACCGGTATTAGCTTGTCAGCGAATACAATTGCGCGACGTACCACAGATCTCGGAAATGATATTATTCGTCAATTAAAAGATACTGCTACAAGCTTTAAATATTTTTCAATTGCTTTGGATGAATCTACTGACACTTCAGACTCAGCGCAGGTGCTTTTATTCGTTCGCGGAGTCAATGAATCTTTTGAAATAACCGAAGAATTGGCCGCCGTCCACTCAATGAAAGATTCATGTACTGGTAATGAAATTTTTTTGAAGGTAAAAGAATCTATTTTTGCTTTGGGTCTTGATTTTAACATTTTAAAAGGCGTAACTACTGACGGTGGACGCGACATATGTGGAGCACATACAGGTTTGGTTGGAAATTTTAGTAAAGCTGTATTGGAGACTGGCACTGCAGCACCAATGGCTATTCACTGCATTATACACCAGCAAGCTTTGTGTGGGAAAAATGCACCAATAATTTGCCCATTTTCCAACATGCAACAAATTCAAACTTGAAAATGATGAAGAATTCCCTAGTGATTTTGCTGTTGGAGTTCTCACCTACTTGAATGAGCAGTTCCAGACGGTTTAGAGGTTTAGAGATTTTGAAGGTGCAGAAGACCGATTCTTTAATATTGTACCGATTTTCCCCGGTTTCTCACAATTGCTGGAAAAACTCTTGGGAAAATCGAAAAATTACCTCTTTAAAGTACTTTCCCACACGGTGCTATAATTGGAAATCGGAACAGGATTAATAGAAAAGTTGCCCAAAGATAGAAAAAAAATAATGATAAACATCTTTGTAAAACCATAAACTTCTTCGCTCCACAAACAAACTAAAAAATGTAAATTAAAGGAATCATAGCTCTCATAAATTCATCAACTATCACAAGTAAAAACAACTTCCAAAAGTATTGAACAGAACAAAAGTTATTTCAGGTGTCATATTTTCATGTTACATTCTGTATAATATTCACATTGGCTTGAACATATTTGTACGTTTCCACATTATTTGTACAACTCTGTCACTCTTTTAAAATAACCCATACCTTTAATACCAGTAGGTATTTAGTCAGTTTTGTTTATTTAACTTACAGTTAGGTACCCATTACATAATATTGCTATTTATATCATTATCTATTATATATATAAATAGTTAAGTATACATTATACTATACAAGCACTTGAAGAAAAAAAAACGATCCACCTATATAATTATTATTCTACATACTTGTAGTTGGGTAATACTGCCCAAAAATAATTTAAAATACAGAATAATGTAATGTACCAGAAAATCTATGACATTATATCTTTCAATTGATACCTACTTACCTACTTAATATAATATATTATACATTGGCTATTATTTCAGTTATGTACCTACCACTTTTAATATTCCTACCTATAACTGAGCATATTTTGAGGCAATCTTGACTTTGGAAAACACTGAATCTTTAATGAATTTAGTAGTCAAAATTAAAGATACACTTCCTATCTAAATACCGTTTAATTTATTTAACACAAAAACAAATGTTGAAAAAAAAAAAAATAGAAAAAAAATTTACTTTTACAGTTAAAGGTAGGTATTGACAAAGAATATAACATACTGTACATATATTGTTATCCAATAACATACTGATCTCAGTACAGCAATATTCTGAAATAGATATGATCACTAAGAGCCTAAACTGAATTTGAAAATCGAACTTCAATATCCTGTGTTTAAGTCAACAAACATTGGTAAACAAATAAATATTAATATGTTTTATTGAATCCATACAGTGTCCAATCTTCCATGTTAAATTAATCAACAGTTTAACTTTAAAGCTATGTATAATTTTAGAAGACTATATTATAGTCGTTTTAATAAGTAACAGAATTATATAACATAACATATGGATATTAAATTTAATTGTATTCATATTAGATTTTTAACCAATTATAAATAAGAAATTCATACTGCATCAGCATTTAACAATATATATACTTAATAAATATACAGTTTAATAGCAATAGAATTATATCAGAGATCATAATTTAAAAATTGCTGTTTAGACAAATTGACCTTTGGATTTCTGTTAACTAAATACAGTAATCTGTCTTGATATTGTTTTTGTAAAATGAAAAATAATATTTATTATCAATACTATTAGTTTTGATGTTATTTGGGATAAAATAGCATATTTTATAAACTACATTTTAGAAATTATAATAATAAATAATATTTAATTAACCAAATCTGAGGTGTTGGTAATATACTGTCTTCTGTATAAGGTAATTATGTTTTTTTTTTTTTGCATAAATTCAATTTATTTAATATTTTAGGCAACAAAAAAAAAAAATAAATAAAAAATACATTTATTTATTGAATATAATTCCATCAAAATAATACACTATTTTTTTTTATATATATATATATATATATATATATATTTTATACATAAATATATATATATATATATATATATACATACATACATACATACATACATAAATATGTGTAATATCAAAGCTCTTTTACTCATCAAACCAGATTTTTTTAAACATAATATGCTTGTTAAAAATACAAAAAATTGACTAATATTATTTAATAATAATGCACTTGCCTCCCTCCTCAATGAGGTCCAATATTCTGTATAGAAAAAAATTAAAATGAATAAAATATGAATAGGATACCATACATGCATACATGTATTATTAATATTTACTAAGCAGAACATTTTATTGTTTTAGTTTTTATTAAACCAGTAATTAAAGACGAAAACATAAATTTTAATATTACCTATTTACTTAAATACTATTTGTAAACATTTTTTTTTTCTAATGGGATTTTGCTAAAGAAAGCAGAACTGGAATTTACTACCTAATTATCTTAGACGAAAATATTTTATTCATATCCATATATTTTTAAGAATTCAATTATGTATTTTTGTGTAAATTTAATAAATACCATTAATCTGCTATGCTTTTTTAATAGAATCTTGGTTTGAATGAGTAAATAAACTCTGAAAGTGACACATACATATACACAATATACATACATATTAACATCATATAAACACAAATATAAGTGTATTAATACGATGATAAAGTTTCTAATTTATAACTCAAGTATATACAATAGCATTTTGTAAAAAAATAAAATATTTAGCAATTAAACAATACAATGTTTTAACTGGCAACACAGTTATCAATGGTATATATAACTCAGTTGACAATAATTATTGGAGTATAATACAAAATTTAACAATGGCATCAATAAAAAAAGGGTGGTAAAAGGCACTAAAAATATTATGGTTTATAAATTATATAATATTTGTTACATATGTAATACATAACAATACGTAACCATTATAAATGTTTTACAAAATATCGTATACATGACTTCAGCTTAAATTAGTTTTAAGACGAAAATCCAGAATTTGATTGATTGTTTGACACAAATTTTTTTGCACGAGACCATGTATTAGACATTATATGAAAAAGCTAAAAAAAAAAAAAAACAAAACACAAAAATAATTATTAAACCATTAGCAATTAAAACATGCTATACTAGTTTTACCTTTTCAATCCATTCATCATCAGCTAACAAGCGATTAAGAATAGCAGTTGTATCTTGTGTGTCTTTAGTAGTTATCTCCACACTGCTATCATCATTTGCTGCAGTAATACGTTTGCAACATTCTTTGTAAATGTTGTATTTAAGGTGTTCAAGACTATGTAAAATTGTCAACTTATCGGAACATTGAATTGAGCAACATTGCAATTTTTGTATGGATTGTATCTAAATAGGCATAATTATAATTAGAAAACAGAATTTTAGGAATTTCCTAGAGTATTTCACATTTAATTGATTTTGATTATATTTATGCATTTAATATATTTTGTTTAATTGCTATAATTACTGAGTGACTAAGAAAACAAAAACAAATAATATTTACCTCTGTGGATATTTTTAATGTACGAGAATTATATTCTCTACCAGATAAAGATACTTCATTAAATTTTTTATACTTCCCAACAAATTCTTCATAACCACAAACTATACATTGTAGTGGAATATTATTGACTGAAATTTCACCCATTGAACATATTTCTAATTCAGGATACCTTGCAACAATTGTGCGTACATTGTTTACTTTAGGTAATTTTTTTGCTGATTCTCTTATCAAAGCATCCATTGCTTCTAACCAAGTTTGGGTAACTTTTTCAATGGCACGAACATTGCTTAAAAAAAATTCATCTAAACATAAACAAAACAAATATATATATATTTGATATTATTTCATTTAGCATTTAAATAAATTTAATTACCATTTTCTCGATAAATTTCTCCCAAAAAATTTGAGTCCAACGCCTGAGATGCTAAAGTTTGTACATACACATCAAAATTGGCACGCAATAATTTATTTTGATCATTAGTGTTCATAGATGAAATAGATTTTAAAGTGTCTACTTTTGGTTTGGAAATTTGATTATCTGTCGGACATTTAGCGTTGACTTTAGAATTATTTTGAACAAATTTGTTGCTGTTATCACACAATAATTTTACAAAAATATCAGTTGATGATTTATTAGGAATGAAAGTTGCATTTTTGTCCTTAGTAATAAATTGGACAGAAACTTGACGATACATGTGATAATGAGGTGGACCCCAGCCAGTGTACTGAAAAATATTTTTATTATTAGATACAACATTAATTTAATTTATTTTCTTCTATTCTTACAGTTGAAACGCTTTTAAACATATCACTGTCATTACACCTTTGAAATTTTTGTAATAATGATTTTCCATCAACCCGCCAAAGATGTTGAGGAATATCTCCCTGAATTTGTTCATTATCCAGAAATTCATTATGAAGGGCAACAAATGTACCAGACTAAACATAATAAATACAACATTGATTGGATTGATTAGACATAACGTAAGAGTTGGGGACTATAAATATAGGACATGTTATAGAATTTTAAATTATAATAATATAATAGCTAAAATCTATCTTACTCACACTCTCATAATTTTTTTAGTTTTTCTTTGATTTATGTGGTTTTTGAATGCTAAAGATGATACAGAAGTAATTTTTTGGAAACTATTATTATTTTAGAAGTTATATCAATTTGAAGTTACCAGTTGTATATTAAATATAACTATAAAAAACTATATTCTCGGTTTAGGTATACAATTGGAGCACTACTTCCTTAAACTATTATTAAGTTTTGATCCACAAATAGGTTTGTAATATTAATTCTCCTTTATTGTTCTCCAAAACTAGCTATTTTATTAGACACACACTAAAACCAGCCTACTTCAAATTGTCATAACTTCTCCAATATAATTTCTGAAAAATTATTCAAACATTTATGACATTTTTATATATTATTATATTATTTATATAAATATATTTTTTTTTTGAAATTAGTGAGGTGATGGGTAACATAAACTTGTTTCTATATAAAAATTGTACGATTTAAAATAATATTCCAAAGCTCGTTTTACATATTTCTTTCATCATGACTAGTTTCCGCAAAGCCATAATTAGCAAATTTAAAAAAATAAGTAATAAAAATTAACTGATTATGATTAAAATTTAAATCTAATAATACTTGAAACTTATTATCATTTTAAATCGAATACAATTTATTCCTATGTTTACTTTAAATTATAATACAAATATTAAATTATAATAAATACTTTAAATGGAACCACTGTAGAATCATCAAATTTATCATTATTATTATTGGACAATGACGATGTAGTTGGTAGACTTTCACCAATTGAATTTTGGTCTTTTGAGTATTTGTTATTATTGACATGACGTTGGCGGCCACTGATTGAACTTTTGGTCACATCATTATCTTCAGTATCTGGTATCCAAGCAGGGTCAACATCTGAATCAGTGTTTGATGATGAATCATCTTCTATATCCAATTCACCATTTAAACTGCTTAGTAATTTTTGAGTTTTTTCTTTAGCTAATCGATGAGATAATTGTCTTTTAGGTGGTTGCAAATGTTGTGTCTCTAAAAAAAAAAATTAAAAAAAAAAAATGAACTTTGTAAGTACTTAAAATATATTTTTCACTTAATGACATTAAAATAGTTTTAGATCAAAGTGACCTTTGGAAGAATTAAAATATGAATAAATGAGTACTTTAAAACCTAAAACTATTTTAAAGTCACCATACATAGTAATGTTCTCGCATACTTTGTTTTTTAACCGCTGTATTAGAATTTAATGTTTTTTTTTTCTGGGTGCTATTATTTTTTTTTTTTTTATTATTATTTACATTTATTTTTTTTTTTATTTCTAATGATGAAGCCATCCACCATTGGTCTTGTTCTTGATCTCCTGACCAACTGTTTTCATGATTACTGCCTGCACTTTTCTCATCAAGTATTGCGGAAGATGTTTTGGGTAAAGGAAAATATCTTGGATCTTCATCTAATGTGGTAGTGTTAGTAGTTTTTTTATTATCTTCTTCATTACTACGAGATGAGGTTTGTTCATTCGCTGGTACTACTATTTTTGGTTTTGAAATAGGTATATATGGCTTAGGTAAAGGTTTTGGCGTTGACGATGATAGAGGATGCATTAATTTTTTCGATTTTTCATTGTTTTCAATTTCAGGTTTACTTACCGAACCAACATCACCATTCAAAAATTTGATATAGCTATCTATAAATGAAGGTTGTTTTGGTTTGACATTTAAAGGCTTAACTATTGCATTGGTGGTAGACATGGTCTCATCACAAAGGTGACTCAACTCTTCTTCAATGTTTGGTACGACTACATGGGGGGTATATGGCGGTCTATTGTTCTCATTTACAGCATAGTTAGTACTTTGAATATTATTGGTGAAATCTTGGAACTCGGGATTTTGTGGCTCGGTATTATGGTGTTGTCTATTGAATATTGATGGACTGGACGTAGTAACCAATGTCATAGGTGACACCGTTGAAGGTGTTTGAACATAATATGTAGGGCTTACTGTTGATACAATGAAATTATTATGAGTTGGAACTGGCATTTGTTGAAGCTGAGGGATGGTTGACACAGGTGGTTGGATGTTGAATGTTGAAACCGTATTGTTATACGGCTGAGATTGTTGAAGTATTGATTGATGAAATACACCAGGAGAACTATTTCCTGTAAAACATGATGTAGTCGATGTAGTGTGTGGTTTTTGATGATCCAAGTTCCAGTTGGGATGGCGATGTACATCTAAATATGTATTACCAATCATAATGTTCTGTTGTAAATTTGTTTGACCATGGTGGGGATAAATATGAGCTGGAGGCGGTTGACGTCTGAAATATTGACCATTGTACGACGAATTGATCATGACAGATTTTGGTAATTGTTGATTTTCTATTATACGTTTACCACTAATATTGTTTAATAATGTGGGTGGTCCAATAGATTTCCCGATATCAGTGGATATTATCCTGGGTTGCTGTTCAATCATTTTTTTAACACCGTAACAATCAATGTCCGTCTGCATGGATTGCAAATTTTTAACAATATGCATGGGATCGCCGCGTTGCACTGGCGCTCCCATTAGTAAAATGTTATCCAATTGATGTTGAGGTGTTTGATTCGCAGGTACTGCGTTTTCAAAATGATAATATTGCCTATCGTGATTATCTGAAGTCTTCGTCTGTAATGGTAAAGGTAAAGGCTGAGTCTGGTAATAATTATTGTTGGTCGCCATGTTATCCATCGTAACGCTATTCGTTGTCCGGGTAATCACTGACAAGTATCCGACCGGCTGTGAAGTAGTTCTCGGTTCATAATCGGTATCCATAGGAGTTTTGGTGAATTGTGGACATACTGGAAATTTTCTGGGTTGACGGTGGTGGGCATGTTGTGGTACCACCCGTTCGTGAGGCAGAATACCAAAAGGACTCAATTCCATACCGACGGTGGCGATGTTTGATGGGGGCATTATTATAGGGCTCGTGGACACGGCGGGGACAGCAGGAGAAGCAATCAGTTGACCGCCGTGCTCTTGAAATATCGGAGCATATTGTTCGTGGCTAATGACGTTTCCGTTACCGGGGTGTTGCAACGGCACCCTGGAATTGGCGACATGGCACAGCCCGGCGGTTTTGGTGTTACTCGTGACGGTCGTCACCGAGGGGCGACTCGGAGACAGCAACAGTCCGACTACGGCGGACGTGACGTTAGTAGAAGTGGCCGTCGAACGGCGGCCGATGGACTCCATTTGTGCGGTGGCGCGCGGGTTCTATGGCATGTCCGTCGACGCCGTCGTCGCGCCAACAACAATCGCAATTGAACGGGACGTCCGGACGCGGGACCATGGACAGCCGGGACGCTATTGCAGGTGTATCGCTGCGGGCCTAGACAAACACAACAGTAATGCTGCGATTAGACAGGTGCATTGGAGACGGCGTACGGGCGACGGCGGTTACAGTATTATTATGATTTAAACAGCGACGGAAAATTAATAAATAAAAAAAAAAAAAAATTATCGGGAAAAATCATACAGAAAGCAGCGCTGTGTGCGCCGAGGCGATCGTCGTGACTTACCCGTGGGGAATGGAATTATTGTCGGTAAACGCGCGCGGACCGAACGTCACGCGCGGGCCCATCAATAACGAACGGCGGCCAATAATAACGATTGTCGGCGATACCCGGACTGGGAAGATTCGCAAGTCCCGGAGAACACCGCGAGCGGACACGGCAATATTCGTGCGGAACGACGAGGACGGTGATAATTATTATTATTATTATTATTATTATTATTATTATTATTGTCGTCAATCGAACACACCGCACAATATCTACAAAACAAACACACACACATATTCACGCGCACGCGCACCCGCTCGCGAACGAACACACGCACGCACACACGCACACACACACACACACACACCCGCGCGCGCGCCCGCACGCGGATGCGCGAGACCGAATCGCACGGCGAGTGTGGCCGCTGTTGTAGGTACACAACGCACGGTATATTACAGCAGCGTCGTCGCGTATTATAAATATGCGTTGTAATATTATTATTATTATTATTAATATTATTATTATTATTAATATTATTATTACTATTATTATTATTATTATTATTATCTAATATTATTCACGATAATAAACGTTGGCGCGGCCGGCTGGCGTTGGCGCGAGCTGGTTATCGGGCACCGGTGGTGGGGACGGCTTGATAGCGTGGAGGCCACGCGTGCCGCGGCCGTCGCGGTCGTCGCGGTCGTCGTCGTCGTCGTCGTCGTCGGGACTTCGGGAGGCGACGGGTTCGATAAAACGAAACGCGACGACGTTTTTCCGGCTTGCCCCGGCCACCATAACACTTTACCGAACGTAGTTTCGCGTTTATAAGGTAGAAAAAAAAAAACAAAAAAAAAAAATGTCAATTTTCGGGGGGGGGGGGGGGGGGGCGAAAAAAAGTACCGGGTACCCACGACGACGTCGAGTGCGAGACGTATCGTCGTAATAGGTCAGGCAGGCGCCTCTATCTACCTACGCTATTCGGTTTACCTTTCGTTTTTTTTTGTTTTTTTTTCTATACTATTTCTCCTCGAAACGACCGGACATTATAGGGGCACCTACTACAGCTGGTGGCGATTGGACGTAGGTGGGTAACGATTTCGACGGATACGACATTTGATTGTGTACGGTACCGTTTACTCCGTTCTATAGGAATATCGAGATAATCGCGCGACGAGTTGACAATAATAATCATTTATAATTTATTGTGTAACGCGTAATATAGGCGGGTACTGGTTTTGTTTACACACGTCTGGGTCGCTTCTATACGTACCGATTTCAATAACTTTTCCTGTACGGTTATTAATAATATAAAAAAAAAATAAAAAATAAATAAAATAAAATATAGGTCACGCGTAATGCATTTGGATACTCGGATAGCCAATTAATTTGAGAAAATCAAAACGTTTTTTTACGTGGAAAAAAAAAATGTTTCACGAAAAGTGTTTCAATTTACATTGATACACGTGTGTATAAAACTTTGGTATACGAGTGGGTACAAGTGTACAACAGAAATAAAACCGTTTTTGTTTTCTACATTTCTACAATACGATCAGTGGCGTAACTAGAACTTCTGACGCCCGTGGCAAAATATTGTACAAAGGCCCCTAAGGGCAAAAAAAGGTCGTTCAAAAAGATGAACCTATGTCCAATAATGCTTTGGGCTCTGGTCAAGGCCACTGCTAAGGCCCTCATCAGTTGTGGGCCCGTGCCGTTTGACTACCTTACCCGCCCAGTATTTACGCCACTGATTGCAATGGTAATAATATCATTCAGTATCGGCGGTTTTCAACCTTTGTGTGTGTCGGTCACCCAAGATATTGGCCCAATTTTTCATGCGATCTTTTCGAAAATAATTCTCAATGAAGTGCTCTCACCCTACCCAATCCGCTAGATTTTTCAATTGCCATAACTAAAAGAAATTATTAATTTTCATTTATTTCTTAAAGAAACATACACGACCAAACGAGTACCATTGTGAAGTTCAAAATTTCGATAACCGATACCGAAACAAAATATGCGAATTAAAACTTATCGAAACTTAATCGTTTTCGTGAACCGATAAAGCATATTGCGTTACTTATAGCATTGAAAGACCAAAGTTCAAAATTATGAACCTAGGTAGGTATAACTCTTGTTTGTCAATAATTTACGGAAAATGTTTCGTTAGTTATTTTATTGTTTTATATTTTGAGTGGAGCGAAGAAGCTTGTATAAAGATAAAGATGTTTATTTTTTTTTCTGTGCACCACTTTTCTACCAGAAATTTCGCTCCAATTTATAATAATAACAATTTTTCTAAAAGGAATTTCGACTGGGAAGGTACTTTAGAGAGGTCATTTTTCTTAGGAGTTCTCCCAGCAAATGTGAAAAACCGGAGAAAAAAATTGGAAACCCGGGAAAAACGTAAGAAAACCAGAAAAATCAGTAAAACATTTAACAAATATGATTAAATAAAATATATGAAGACTATTTAATTATTTTTCTATAATATGATACATATATTGTTGATAAAGCATCACTAACAACTGAACTCCGCTCAAAATCGTTTTTCGTTAGCAATAGTTTATCGTTGCTTACAGGTATACTTACATTAAATTACCTATAACAGTAGCTCCCACATTATATTACGAGGTATTTTTAAAACTAAATTATACAGGTAGTCTAATATGCAAATATTATATTAACGTGCTAATATTTTAGCGACCTATACAAAATTAACCGCGACCCTACGGTTGAGAAACGATGTTCAATATCAATGCGTTTGATTCGTAGTCGCAAATAGCACGAATATTTAATTATTATTTTTTTATGAGTCGAGGATGGAGGCATTAGATCCTCCATGGTGGACGAATTATGCGTATTGCGTACTATAGTATTTACTTAATAACGTCTCTATTGGCCGAGTTTTGGGCCGCATACCGTAGTGATACACAATCATCAAGTCTATGCTTGGTTGGTACCTAATACCTACAAACGATGTAGTAAATTATATTTTAACTACCTATACGTTTTAAATACACCGTGTTCTTACCTGTCAATCCAACGATGAGTGTTTATTTTAATGGGAAATCTACGTACCTAGCAATATCTATGGAGTAGGTACGTGAACGGTGAACCACGTAAATAATTAGATATTTGTAGGAAAAAAAAAATAATAATAATAATAATTGACGACGAAAATGCATTAGCTCAAATAAGTACCTATTACCCAAACCTATCAATTATTATGCTCTTTAGTACAAATGTGTTATCGATCTGCAGGTGAGGGGTAAGTATCAATACGAAAAGGTGTTGATTAAAAGTAATTGAAAATGTCGATAGTACCTAATCGACTTTTATCGTTTTGAAATTATGTTGATTTTTATCTATTGAAATGCCATATAGTTCATTATAGATACGTTGCGTTGCTATAATGTTGATAAGTACTCACATTAGGTAATAATAATCTATAATATGTAACCCACCTGTAATAATGTAGGCACCTACCTACCTGTTGTCCCAGATTTACAAAATGTATTTACTCATCTACTTACAATAAAAAGAAACTAAAATCATTGTATGACAGGTACTTAATACTAATAATACCTATTGATAACCTGATCATATTATTTTTGTCGTCTAAATTGGAAATCATTTTGATGAAGAACTTTTGATCATAGATGTAAATAGGCGCATAATTTCCGTCAAAATTTAAATCGCTAATGAACTATTGCCTATCTATATACGTTCCATTTAAAGCGCCTACTATACAGATATTAGGTATCCGTTTGTTGATAAATTATAGTTTATCATATTATTCTCTTGATATTAACGAAAATTGTTAAATATAACAACATCGATTACGATTAATATTAGTTTGGTTGCATCTAAACTGAAATGAGAGTCTTTTTGTCTTGGCATTTTTTTTTTTTCCATGAGTATACATATAGGTCCGCCTATAGTATACCTACGCGATAAGATGGTTAAATGTAAATAATAATAATGTAGGCACTCGTAACCTTGAGATTTTGGTCAGTTTAAAAAATTAAAAACTCTTCCGAGCGTAATATGCGATTTCCCCGTGGAACTGTCATCTGTAGCCGCGTAGGTACCAGCTATTGAATGGGTCCGCAGAATGTCTGATAGGAAGATTAAAATGAACCAACACAAATACGAAACAAAATATGTAAATACAATCGTCCGAATCGAGGAATTTATTTCCCGGTCAAGCCCATATCAAGTCTCGCGCATGAAGGCATATTATTTATTTGAATAGGACGGCGGTGCCGAACCACGAAAAATATCACAATGGTCCGCAGTATCAAATTATGAAAGCACCCGCACACCTATATTGGCGCATGCTCTCCCTCCCTCTCATCAAATGCGTTAAAAATGTAATTTTCATACAAGTTATAATTTATATTATAATGTATTATAAGTTCTATTTTTGAATTTACTACATGCGCTAAGGGAGAGGATTCAGTCTCTATAGCCGCTCCCCTTCCCTTGTGTCCACACCTGATAACACACGAAAATACGCCCTACACGAAACAATACGGTGGGTAAAAGTACAATAATTTCATCAGAAGTACCTATGCGTCAATAATTGTAAACGTACACTCCTGTCGTTTAGACGTGCTGCTGAGTTATACACTCGTAGTTATAGAACAGACACACAGTCATTGTCTATAGTAGGTACCTAGATATTGTATGGTTTTAGGTATATTGTCTTTGTCTTCACAGACAGTGCTATATACTAAATATTATAACAGTTGTAATATAATATAATAGTTATTAATTATTTACACATGGGTTATGGCTACGTGATATTCCCCCTCCCCCCCCCACCCAATAATAATTCACTGGCGGTCGCCATACTTGGATACAGTCACTGCAGTCCAAATGGTTTATTCATATTTATTTATGCTCATGCCACGATTGCGGCGCTGGAATTTCTTTAGTAATGTCAATTTCATTGCAACAATTATATTTCGATTCAAAATAGTAATATAACCGACTTATGTGTCGACGAAATGGGAAGATTTAAAATACCATATAATATACCGGGTTGTTTGTCGGCAAAATGAGAGTCAGCGATGTGGTAAGACACGGTTCAAATACACGTAGAAACCTATTTGAATACAAATAGGTTAGTACTGTGATTTAGGTAGATAGAAACAAGTAGCTAAAAAGATATAAGTAGCTAGATAAGTACAGATTTGTATTTTACATGTTACGGCAAATGTTGAAAATTGGACGTCAACTTTTGGTTCGGTAGAACCGGTTTTGTGGCTGTTATAGTTTTAATATTAGAGTAAATTTGCTTATTTTCAAACTTAATGGTAAGAACGT